GTCCCCCAGCTCGGCTTGGGGGCGAGGAGCCGGCGCCGGAGTCCCGGCGCGGCGGAAGCTGCTGACCTTTGCCCGAGGTTGAGCTTATGACTTACAAGGGTCCGGGCTGCCCTCGGGGTAAAGCGGGTGAGGCAAGGCCGTAAGCCCAGTGAAGCCAGAAAACAACGGGATGCGGACTGGGGACGTGCAGGTTGGCAGGACCTGGCTAGCTGCACGCCTAGAACAGCTGGGAAACCAAGGCCCTGGGGAGAGAGGCCCGGCCATCCAACCCCTAGGGCAAAGCACTCCTGACATCTAGGGGGCTGGCTCCTGGCTATTTGGGGGCGTCCAGGTGCTGGGTCTGGGGTTGACTTAGCAGACTTTTCTAGGTTGGAGGCCCAGGCTGTGGGAGTCCCACTGACCGAAGGTTTCTGGGACACAGAACCGCGGGCGTCTAAACCCTGCCATTCACTCGGCTGACCAACGCCTCTCACTCTAACAAGCCACTTTGAAGATGAAACTCTGGAGCCCCTATGCCAGCCGATGCCAAACTGGCCTCTCCCCTTCCACCAGGCTGCCCAATCCCCTCCCTTCCGTATTCTGTCGACTCTCCAGATGAGAAAGGTAGGGTAGAGGGTGGAAGGAGGCTTTCTGGCTGCTCAGGGACGCTTGTGTATGCGCGTGTATGTGTGTGTGTGGGGGGTGGATGGAGGCAGACACCCAGAGGGACAGGTCTAGCCAGATGGCCTGGTCTTGGCTCCTATGGACTCTGGCTCCACGGCTGACTCACAGGCGACAGTCCCAAACCACTTCCCTCTAGGTGCCTCAGTCTCCCCATCTATAAAATGGGAGTGATGACTCCTGTTCAAGGGGCTGTGGGGAGCCTGGCTAATTAAACCTCAGATGAAAGGCCAGGATGGGAGCAGCCCTGGGGAGGGAAGGCAGCTTGAAGAAGGAGCCCGTCTGGTTTCCCTGTGTGGGGCCCAGAGGGCGCTGATAACTGCATGTCCCAGGCCCTCATCACTGCGGGAGGCTAGATGATTATTAAAGCCTTGTCACAGTTGAGACAGGCTGCCATACAGGGAATCCAACACTGGCACCTGCCCCAGATTCTGACCATCCAGCCTCTGCCAACTTGTAGCTTCCCTTAGCCTAACACCGCTGAATTGTACACTTCATAAGGGTGAATTTTATGGTATGTAAATTATTTATTGAGATGGGGGTCTCACTGTGTTGTCTAGGACCTTTAATTCCTGAGCTCAAGTGGTCCCTGTCTCAGTGTCTAGAAAGCTAGGACTATAGGTGTGAACTACTGCATCCAACATTTTTTTTTTCAGTACTGTGGATAGAACTCAGGACCTTGCACTTGTAAGTCAGGCAGCAGCCCCACTGAGCTAAATCCCCAGTCCTTAACCTCATTTGTAATAGCTTTACTTAAAAATATCAGGCTGGGGATTATCAGCAAGGACTCTTGGGAGAGGAGATTTTTGGCTGAAATCTGAATGAGGAAAGGTAGCCAGTCACTAGAGAAGGATCCCAGGCAGGAGGAGCACAGGATAAGCTGAGTTGGGGACAGGCTATGGTCTGGTCTGGGGACTTAGGAGGGCACACAGGGAAGTGGCTGGGAGGGAGGCAGAGCTCAGCAGGCCACTGCACATCAGACTTTGGGATGCTGTTTTGTTGAAAGGAGAGGTGGTCAGACTTGGGTTTTCACAGCGTCAGTAGTTTGTGGGGCTAATGGGGAGTGGGGGGGCCTAGGTTCAGACCTGCCAGTGGCCAGGTGTGGGGTCAGCGAAGGAGGCAGGGACTTGGGCTCATGGTCTCAGCATTCGAACAGAAAGACTGGCAACTATGAGCTTGGAATGAAGGTTGGCAGGCAGGAATGGCCACCATGGTGAACACCAACCAAATTCCATCCTCCCAAAGGAACCTACTCCACACCTGGGGATCTGCAGGACCCCAAAGCTGCCTCCTCTGCTTATATCCCCAGCCTTTGGCCACAGGGCAATGTTACCTCCAGCAGGTCCGCAGGGCCCAGGGCCTGGACATCCCCCTCAGTGGGCTGAGAGGCCTAAGGCAGGAACTCATCAGGAAACAGTGTCACTCAAAGCACCTCAAGGTTTGTCAGGCCCCTGTGGCCTCCACAGGTAAAACAGCCAAACAAGGCTGGAAAGTTTGGGGGCAGTGGCCAAGGAGGGCCCTCGTCAGCTTGCTGGAAGGCTGAGTTCATTTGCAATGGCTGCTGGGCTTCTGGGCAAAAACAAATCCAACAGCATCTCTTGAGGGTAGATGAGGAAACTGGCCTTGAGAATCTGGGTCTAAAGCTGGATTCTTCTTTGAGTGTCTTTTTATTTTTTATTTTATTTTTTGGGGGTTTCTTTTTAGCTCATATCTCCCACGAGCCCCAGCCCCTCCCTCTGCCATCCCTCCTGGCTCCCCGAGACCTTCCCTTACAGCAGGAAGTAGTGGTTTCAAACACTATCTCCCCACTGCCTGAGCTGTTTCTGGGTTCCTCAGGATGGAATCTGAGCCCTAAATCCAGATGATACTCTTTGGGAAGCATGGTCCTCACTTGCCTACTAGGGACCCACTTTCCTTCCCTTACGGCTCAGTTTGGACCCTAGCCCCAGGCCACCACCATGTGCTCAGACCACTGCAGTAATTCCTTTCCACCACCTTCTCCACTGACACACACTCCGTTCTGCCTGTAGCAGGCCCGTGGCATCAGGAGCATATGGTTTTCCACTTACTGAATCTCACATGCTGTAGTTCATCTACCTCCCCAGCCTTGGTTCCTGTACCCTCCCTTCTCCTTGTCTTCCGGCCTCTGCAACTGCTGGGTGCCTCACACATACTCTAGGCTCTTTCTTGTTCAGGGATCTTGGCACCAGCTGTTCTGCTAGCCACCATCTTCCCAGCTCTGCACAGCTGAACTCCTGTTCAGATCTCAGCATCCCCACCAGCCTCCATCTCCTTACCCTCATCAAACATCTGCACCACACTGATTTCTTGTTTGTTTGCCTTGTAACACAGAACCCTTGGTGCCTAGCATATGAGAGGCACTCAAGAAACATCTGTTAACTCAATGAAGGGGTGGATGATTGATATTGAGCTGCCCCTGAGCTAAGTGCTGGGTAAGCAGCAGTGGCTGTCTTCATGGTGCTCACATAATAGCTTGGTTTACCCAGGCTCACATATCTTGTCTGGTTCTTGCACGGCTATGAACCACACTCCACACATGAGCAGCCTGGGGCCAGATCTAACCCTAGGAGGTGTTTTGTTTGAACCAACCTATCTTTTTTTAAGAAACGGGGAGGGGGAATTTGGAGCTGAATTAAAAATCAAAACAGGATAGTAGTGCATACCTGTAATCTCAGAACTTAGGAGGCTGAGGCAGGAGAATCATCAAATTCAAGGACAGCCTGGGCTATACAGTGAGAACTATATAGCAAGGCCTTTTTTTTTCAAAAAAACCCAAAAACACAAAGAATAAACCTGATTTTTTTTGGGGGGGGGTTACTGGGGATCGAACTCCAGTCCTTGCATTTGCAAGGCAGGTGGCAGAACCACTGAGCTAAATCCTCAGCCCCATAAAGCTGAATTTGTGACTGCCTTTAGGTAGACATGTTTTCTGTAGTCTCCACCACTCTCTGGTCTCCCTTAAAGCCAGCATCTGGTATGTATTATGTACATATTTATTTATTTTGGTTGTAGCACTGGGGATTGAACTCAGGGCTTTCATTCATAGCTACCTTTTTTTTTTTTTTTCTTCAGACAGGGTCTCACAGTGTAGTTCAGGCTGGTCTTGAACTCAATATGTAGTCCAGGTTGACCTTGAACTCATGGTAATCCTCCTGCTTCAGCTTCCCTAGTGCTGGGACTACAGGGGTGCACCACCACATCTAGCAATTTTCCCTATTTTAAAACTGCTAAATTGCCCAGGCTGAGCCAGGCATGGTGACACATGCCTATAATCCGAGCACTAAGGAAGCCAAGGCAGGAGGATCACCACGAGTTCAAGGTCAATTTGAACTACACAGTGAGTTTAAAACCAACCTAAACCAAGCACCAAGACCCTGCCTTAATAAATAAACAAAGAGCCCAGGCTATTTAGGAGCCTCAGCCTCCCAGAGTGCTGGGATTACAGGTATGCACCACACCCAGCCACATCAGTTGCCTATTGTCACTGAACTTCACTACTGTTTTCTTTACTAAGGAAATTTGCTCCACATCTACCCCTACCAAAAGTTGGAACATGAAAGGGTCACACAAGGAAACAGGATATTCATTCACCCCACAAATATTGATAACCAGTCTTGTGCTGGGTATGGCTGCAGAAACAGAAACTGCAGCAGGGGAAAGCCCGGACAAGCACCTTCCCTCCTGGGGCCTTGCTTAGTTTGCAGTGACTTTCTTTGTACAGTAGAGACACTGGACTGGCTGGCTTCACCCACTGTACCTCCCCACCTGGCCTCTGGAATCTCCCCTGATGAGAAAGTGCCCGTGTGTCCTGGATCATCCATGAAGACTTCACTATGGAATCCACCAGGGACAAAAAAACCACTGGGGCTGGCACAAAAAAAGTGCTCAAGGAACATCTGGAATGAGCGAGCTAAATTCAACTCTCTGCTAGTCAGTGCTGTTGCTGTAGGATTTACTGCTAAAGACGAGCCCAATGCAGATGCTCATTGATGTCAGTTGAAGGCAAGGGTCCAGAATCAGAGCAGAGGGTGGACAAGGGAAGTGTGGGCTTTGTGAAGGCAGAGCCCTGGGCAAGGAGAAGGCACAGACATTAATGCCTCTTGGCAAAAGCATGCGTCACTCTCAAGTAACCATGACCATAGGAGATGGGTGATAGGATTCTCAAGGGACAGACAAGGAAGGCCCCTTGGCCAAACTCAGGATACAGAAGCTAGGGAGGAAGAAGACCATCTATTCCCAAAGTCCATGTTCTCCTCACCCACACAGGGGCTTCACAAAAGTGACTCTAGAAGGATGTCACCTTCGACTAGGTTTCTGAGAGTCCACATCAACTGCTTCTCTTTTGCCTCTCTCTTTTTTTTTTGGTACCAGTGATCAAACTTTGGTTCTGGTTCTTGTGCTTACGAGGCAGGTGGCAGAACCACTGAGCTAAATCCCCGGCCCTTGACTCTCTTTTTAACTGTGGATTCATTTACCAGACTCATCTCTTCACAATTTGTTCTAGAAAAAATTTCATAGTATATGAGAGCTAGGTTCAGTGGTACATGCCTGTAATCCCAGCTACTTAGGAGGTTGAGGTAGAAGCATCTAAATTCAAGCCCTTGTCTCAAAAAAGGGGGGCAGTTATGTAGCATAGTGTGAAGATCCTAGGTTCAATCCACAGTGGGGGGGGGGATTAGTAAAGCTGCTGTATCACAAAAAAACAGTATGTGAGATAGCCAGGCTTAGTGGCGCACGCCTGTAAACCCAGCACTCAGGAGGCTGAGGCAGGATCACTGTGAGTTCGAGACCAGCCTGGGCTACATAGTGAGTTCCAGGTCAGTCTCAACTACATAGTGAGACCCTGTCTCAAAAACCGGGGTCGGGGGACAACCCAGTATGTGAGAAAGCTATGTGCAGTAGAGACTCTCAAATGAGTGGGTCATCTCCCTGCCCTTAGTAGGTTGGCTAGTAAAAGAAGCTCAGCCATGGCCAAAGAATCACAGCTTATGTTGGCCACCAAACATCCTGGGGTAGGACAGTGGGACTGAAGCAGCATTCTAACAGGGCCTGGCCAAGAGCAGAGCAGGATGGATTGGGGGTGGGGGGCAGAGGCAGGCTGAACCCCTGCTCAGGGTTGGCCTGACCCCGTCTGGGGTTCTGGATCCTCGGCTCTTCTGCCCTCACTGCACCTGAAATCTGGCTATCTTATCTGGTACAAGGAGAGTTGGATTTATACCTTTTTTTTTGATACTGGGGATCAAACTCGAGTCCTTGCACTTGCAAGGCAGGCAGCGGAACCACTGAGCTAAATCCCCGGCAGTGGTACAAGGAGAGTTGGGACAGTGTATAAGCCCAAAGGTTTTGCAGGAAGTTGGTGGAGTCGGTGCAACTTATAAAGC